CTCTTTTTCCTAGGTACATAAAGATAAGAAGAAGGCAACGAAAAGCACTTAGAAAAGGCTATTAAGAAACTGATCCACTATTTGTGTCATCCACGTTAGAAAGAGAGCCATGAAAAGCATAGATCCTCAAGGAAAGGAAAAAACACCACTTCATCTATTTATGATTACCATAAACCAGGCCATGCTTTCTTTTATTTAGTAAGCTCAACCGAAGAGCCCTGGACCGACAGCACCTACAAATGAAACATGCATTTCGCTGTGCACCTTTACTTGCTTCGAAAATCAAACAATGCATTTCTTCTCAACATAAACATATACCGGTCTTTCTCTCTAGCCTATATTTGACCTTGCGTACAAGCCTATTATCCTATTGGTATGCCTATGTGACCCATATGTGCTAAACCGATACTTGTTACTTCTATCTATTAAACGTTATCATGACTTAATCATGCTTAGTACTAAACCTTACTACGTAGTTCAAACTATACTGACCTTTCCATGTTTTGTACTCATCACTTGCCTATGAGCTTACCTATGAATACTTTGTCTAGCAGCCCTTGTTTCTAAGCACCCATCTCTTGCTTTGCCTCCTCCTTGCAACCAGAAACCTATCGCCCCTCTCTTTTCAAAACAAACAACGTGGAGCGCCTTGTGAAGTGAAAAGATGAGCTATGATGACTTGGCTTCCTTTCTTCTTTTCCTTGTGCAAATCAATTATTCCTTGGCACGCCTTCAGTTCAGCTGTGACATCTTGCACTTGTAAGGCCACTTGCTTGCCTTTATGCTTGAGTTTCCGCATTCCTTTACTCCAGTCAACTGTCATTTGACCAAAACTTGACAACCAATCAATGCCTAAAATAAGATCATAACCTTGTACATCAAGCACCCTAACTTCTGTTTCAAATTCATGGTTTTGTAACATGAATTGAAGGTTGTCACATTTGGTACTGGTCAATAACTTATGGCGAGACGAGCAGCCCTATACCACGTGTAGCCACACTCGTCTGTCCTTTTCTACTTAGTTGGACAAAAATCGTATAAAATCAAGCAAGAGGATGCGCGTTAGCGCAACGGCTTTTGCGCTAGTTGCTCAATCCGTTGCTTGCTTCTCTTCTGTCTTGGAAAAGTGAAGATTTCCTATCTGATCCAAGGGAAGGAAGAGAGCTGGAAAGTGTTGCTGTGTCAAATCGAGATTGTGTGGGTGTTCAGTCTACCGCTCATGTTCGACGCTATCAAAAATCATGCATTGGATGGATGCCCGGGCATTGAGAAGGAAGGACGCTTTTAGAGGCAAAAGGCCATGGGGAGAGAGCGTCTGTGATCCATGGATCTCTGATCGAGAAACCGTATCCAAGCTCCATGGCTAGTCTGCGCTCTTTGGACTTTTCAAACTTAGCGAACTAAAACATCTGAGTAGCTAAAGGAAGGAAAATCAACCGAGACCCCATTAGTAGCGGCGAGCGAGAGCGGAACAAGGGTTTTCATCAAAAGAAATCTGAAGTTGTTTCATTCAATTTGTTGTGGATTGGATGATGGAAAACCAGCAAGCAGCAAGCGTAGGCTGTGTTGCCGTAGCACGCCCTACGGAGCTGTATAAAGTCAGCAACCAGTTTGGGGCGTAAGCATAGGCAACACAGGACTGATGATGGGGCGGGGCGCGCAGTGAACTGGTTTTCTAAAAAGATTGGAAGATCCGGCCAAAGAAGGTGATAGCCCTATTCATTCGTTCCCATGGTTCGATCCTTCCTAGTAAAATGCGGCGTGTTCGAATGATGATCGCTTTTACGCAAGAAAGGGGGACCACCCTCTAAGCCTAAGTATTCCTCAATGACGGATAGCGTACAAGTACTGTGAGGGAAAGGTGAAAAGAACCCCAATCGGGGAGTGCAATAGAGAACCTAAGATCCGATGCGAACAATCAGACGAAGGAGCGGAGCGCGGGTGCACTCACTCTAACGGCGTACCTTTCGCATGATGGGTCAGCGAGGAAATGGGAACAGCGGCTTAAGCCATTAGGTGTAGGCGTTTTCCAGAGGTGGAAGATTTACGTTCTTCCTATTTGACCCAAAACCGATCGATCTAGCCATGAGCAAGTTGAAGACATCTCTAACAGGCCTCGGAGGACCGAACCCACATATGTGGCAAAATACGAGGATGACTTGTGGCTAGGGGTGAAAGGCCAACCAAGATCGAGATATAATTTGGTTTTCATGAAATCTATTTGAGAGAGCGTATGATGTCGATGGCCGAGGTAGAGCACTCAATGGGCTAGGGTGCCCCCATTTTGCTTTACCAACCCTAGGAAACTCGAATATAGGCCGTCATCCTTAGTACGAGACGCATGATTGGGTGCTAAGATCCAAAGTCGAGAGGAAACAACCCGGATCGTGACGCTAAGGTCCCTAAGCAATCACTTAGTGGAAAAGGAAGTGATCGAGCGATGACAACCGGGGAGGTGGGCTTGGAAGCAGCCATCCTTTGAAGAAAGCATAATAGCTCTTGGTCTAGCTCCATGGCACCGAAAATGTCTCGGGGCTCAAGTGATTCACCGAGCGATGAGACCTTGAAAGCTGCTTTTTCAAGTGTCAATAGCGGGACGTTCATCAATCGGGAAGGTTTTTGGTGACAAGACCGGAGATATCAGAAGTGAGAATGCTGACATGAGTAACGAGAAATCCTGTGAAAAACACGATCACCTGCTAGTGGAATGCGTTCAGTCAATCTACGCAGAGTGAATCGGTCCCTAAGGAACCCCCGAAAGGGCTGCCGTCCAATGGGTACACGAAAGTGACAAAGTTGCTTTGACTACTGAACCATGCATGGATCGTCGGAGCGAATTGGATGATCAGGGCGAGGGCTGCCCCCTCTTCCCCTCGCTCTCCTTTCCTTAATATTCACCGTCGAGTCATCAAAGCCGTCAACTAATTCAGAGGGGCTCGGCTGGCCCGGTGCCGGTCCAGTGCCGGCACATGTGCCATGCCGTGCACCTTGCACAACCTACACGCAGCACACGTGACTGTGCGTCCAATACCGGCACATGTGCCATGATGACTAGGAATGTTTCCTCTTAGCACACGCGACTGTGCGTCCAGTGCCGGCACATGTGCCATGCTGTGCACACCGTAGGACCTACACGCACAATGAACCGCATTGTCCGCGCCCCTGACCCGCACGTGCATGTGGTCGCGAAGGTCGGCTTTGACACCATTTATAATGCCCCAGAGTCCAAATGGCTCAGATCCACACCACACCTACCACCATCCCACTTATGCTTTCGTCCTCGCTTCACGTAAAATGATTAACCCAGGGATAGTGGGATAAACTATAGAAGCCTTATATGTTGGTCTAACCCACCCTAAACAACCAAGGTGGGACTAAACCCCCATAATATCTCATTAACATGCACATGGGCCACTCTGGGCCAAACTCCAAATTGGGTCGGATGTGACAGTTTTTCTCCAAGAAAAATTTTGAGAGTGGCTTAGTGGGGCATTTCTTCCCTAGAGTGGTATTCAATTTTGGTATGGAGCATTGAAATTGATGTTGTGTTGTTAGCGGACCAAAAAGGGTTTAATTGGCCACTAAATACCCTGGTTGGTGACAAATTTATTTTTGGCTGAGTATGAGAGAGAAAGATGATGAAATGTTCTTTTTGCCCTCGGGCCCTTTCTCCTTTCTCTCTTGTCTTTCCTCGGCATGCGTGAGCTGCTATGGATCGCTGGTGTGGCGCTCTCCACCCTCGTGAACCGCAGTTGAGCTACACTAGTTGAGGCCTTCTTTGGTTGCATTCTCCGCATTGTTCCTACTCGTCGTTGAGTCCATTAGTTTTTGATGAGGTAGCCACAGGAGGAGAAGGCGAGAGCGATGAAGGATGTGAGAGGGGCTAGATGACGAGGGCGCAGACATGATGTGTAAGATGAATACCGTCGAGGAGTACCAAGAGGGGAAGCAAGAGATAAAGGTCGTGTACCGCCGGTTGGGCGATAAGGTAGCCTATAAAGAGTATAGAGTGGGAGGGGGACATATGAGCCTACGTACAAGCATGAGTACTCAAGCCAATGTGTCGAGATACGGTATCAAAACCCTCCTATAAAATCATGTGGATGGTATTTGAACATTATTAGATGCTTTATTAAGGGTTGTAATATTGAATTTTATTGTACAGGGTATATATAGTCAACTCATGATGGGTTACAAGGTTATGTACATTTTTTTTATTGTTTGCTGACTTACCACCATGTCAACACCCATGTAATATGCCACGTCAGCGAAACAGACTTCAAAACCGTCTAAGAAATTATTTACTCCATCCGTCCCTAAAAAAAGTGATGTTTTGGGATTTTTTAGATAAATTAGTGGACAAGAGAAATGTCCGTAATACCCTTAGTTTGGTAGACATGATTCCCGATCATGCAGTTTAGTTTTCCTAATTAAGCCACGTTGCATGCAAGCATGCAGAGATCCATGAGTCAATTAGTATTAACTAATAAGGAAAGGGTCGGATCGATAGATTATTCTATGGGCCAAAAGCATGTCTAAAGTTCAGAACATCATTTTTTTAAGATAAATTTTAAATCACATAACATCACTTATTTTGAGACGGAGAAAGTAAAAGATTTTCAATATTTAAATGGCAGGACAACTTCTAGACTGTTCGGATGGCATTAAATTTTTAATGTAGCAGCTGGAAAAACACTGTTCGTTCTGGAATTTGGTGAGCGAAAAACACTACTTCAGCTGGGGAAAAAAAAAGGCCAGCCAGCCAGCCGAAGCTGACCAGCCAAACACGCCGTTCTTTTACAGGTGAAGAGGTGAAATAGATAAACGCCGACACCAGCAACCAAGAGCATGGCGGCGCCGGCAGCCGCAGCGAGAGCGGAGATCAGCGGAGCTTTGCTGCCCTTGGAGCCGAGCGGAGGAGGTGCAGCCCCTGAATTGTGAACACAACACGAAAACGATGAGAGTTCCATTCGATCCGTACCGACGACCATGAATCAGCATTAATCCGTACCGACCCTGATGGAGTCGCAGCAGGCTGCGGAGACGGCGCCGGGCTGCCGATGACGATGATCGGGTCGTTCACCTGGTACCTCAGTCCTCAGGTAGCAGCTGAATCCCCAGATGGAGGCGCGCGTGGCGCCGGTGTGGTTCCCCGACGACACCAGGGCGAGGCGGTACATGAGGCAGCTTGTGCACTCGCTGGGCTCCAGGTCCCCGGTGCACTGTGCCAGACCGTACACCGCCATCTGAGAGCCGTTCCGCGCGTCCGTGTACTCCAGGCTCCCGTAGGCGAGCCGCTGGGGCTGGTCGTGGCCGGCGGCCCTCTCCACGAGCTGGCTCAGCAGCCGCCACCGCGTCGTGTTCATGCTGGCCATGTCCGCGACGTCGACGTCGAACCCAGAGCTACTCTGCCACCTGTCGTCGGTGTCGGCGGAGCCCAAGAACGGCGCGTCCGCGTACCGGAGGAGGCACGCGTCGGAGTCTGAGAAGCTCACGTTCCTGCTGTGCGCGGCGTCCGGGCACAGCTCCGTGAACCCGCCGATAGAGGCGACCTCCCGGAGGCAGTCCTGGCACCGCGTGGCGTTGCAATCGGCGTAGCACATGGCGAGGCCCCACGCTTGGTCGGGCACTGCGGAGCCGACGCTGCCGCTGTGGAACGAGCCGTTACCAGCGGCCGCCGCGCTGGACAGCTTGGCGAGGAGCTCGGCGAGGTTCTTCTCGTACTGGCTACCGTCGGTGTAGGTGCCCGAGGACGCACAGTTGGATATTTCGCCGGCTATCATGACGCCAAGCGAAGCGGCGACGGCGAAGAGCGTGAGGAGGCGGCGGCAAGACATGGTGGACAACAACGGTGCAGGTGCAGTGCAGGCTGCAGGACTCGAAATCTTTCCGGTCGAAATTGTTTGCGGAGACTGCCAGGTACGGACCGACAAGGGAGATCCAGGCCTGCACTTGTTTGCGGCGCAGCAACAATTGTTATGCGATTGTTATTATTGTATATATGTATTTCGATGGATAGTCTCGAGGATTTTAGAATAGGAAATGCTAAGGAACCAGGCTGGGAGGGACTTGAGGCAAGCGGCTGGCCTGGCCGCTTCTCACGCACGCACGCACGACCGGTGTTACAGAGTGATACCTAAACCAGATTCAGACTTCTGAGCATTGACAAGCGGGATGCCTTTGCGCAAAATGCGCGTGCGGCAAGGCAGCCAAATATACGTCGCATGTGATTATAAAACTAATCGCATGAGTCTTGCATTACTAATTTCTAAGATGAGAGTGAGAAGGCATCAATGCATCTTCTTTTGCGTTTCTGTTGAAAACAACGAAAATAGGTACGTGACCTTTTTAACGTATTCTAGCCAATGAGTCTCCTATTTGGATTACGTTGGAGATAGTCTCCTATTACAGAGTGCAGATGCAGACTCTGACATTGACAAGCGATGCCTTTGCTTGTGACATGGGGTGATTATAAAACTAATCGCATGAGTCGTTACTAATTCATGAGATGAATTTGTCAAGCCTAATTAATCTATGATTAACATATGGTTACTGTAACATCACATTCGCTAATCATAGATTAATAAGGCACGGCTTATGCAATTAGTTTTATAATTAGTCTGATTTAATACTTCTGATTAATATCAAATATCTAACGTGACAGGGACTAAAGTTTAGTCACCTGTATCAAACGTCCCCTAAACTCCAGCGGCCAAGAGTGCGACGACGCCGGTCCAGGCGGCGATCAGCGGCGTTTTGCTGCCCTTGGAGCCGGGCAATGGTGCAGGCATGGAGCCCCTGCACCCGAAGCCAGAGGCGATAGCGATGGTACAGCAGGGGCCGTTGGTGACACCAGGCCGGCGAAGCAGAGTTCGATGGACGATGGTGTAAACGAGCTGAACAACAGTGTTATATGCCTGGTATCTATCTCAAGTGCTAACATCGCAAAGATCTGACCACAGAAGAAGCGCGTTCATGTATATCTATGGGTTGTTTGGTTCTCTTACCTAACCAGCCTAGCTCGCATCTTGGATGCAGACACCTGCTGGCCACGCTCAGATGATGCAAAGTCTCTTTGTTTGGTTGCTTGTATTGCTCTGGTCAGGTTGCATCGGTCTGTTCTCTGTTGTTTGGTTACATGAACTTCTAACTTGATCTAGAGATAGCGCATACGCCAAAAGTAGCTAAGCCGCATCACGCCATCCAAACCCGCGAGAAATGAATTTCAATCTCGTTTATATGGAGCCAGGCTAATAGAGGATTCTGCATAAGCTCAAATCACCGTACAGACATCCAAACAGTCTCATTTACTGTGTCTCGCGAACCAGGCTGACTCATATATGCCCAACTAAACAGGCCCATCTAATATTAGAGTCTAATTTGGTTTTAGAATACTAGAGTGAGATGGTTCTATCTCTAGTTTTTTTTTTTTTGAATGGGATGATCCCACTAGCTTTTTTTTGTTTTAGAGATAGGATCATCCTTATTTCCTGCTTGATTGAGGGAGCAGAGAGACATGAACAAGGTGTCAACCACCATTTGACACCAACAATGTGGGGCCCATGTGTTAGTGGAGCATAGCATCTCCATGGTCATCCTACATCTCTATGTGTGCTGCCACAATGGCTCGACAACATCTCCATGGCGCACCTCTGCTCAACTCCTCCCTCTCTGGTCGCCCAACTAGGCTCCACCGTGCCCCCTTTCACAGAACTATCTCCATAGACTTCTTCGTATAGCTCGGCGGCCATGGTTGCAGCATATCGGTGACATTGCTTGGCTCCTCCCTCGACGGTCGCCCTCGCTTGGCTCCTCCCGGATCGGCGCGCCTTCTCAATTCCGGCTACCTCAGCACTGTTGTTCCTACGCCGGGCACGATAGGGGATGCGCAAGACGCGGTGGGGCACGCAGTTGCTGCATGCAGTGGCACGGTGCCGCATATGGGTAGGAGGCGACATCAGGAAGAAGAAAAGTGAACAGAGCAATAAGAACGTCGGGAGGTGACGAGATGATTCCAAGAATTTTGAGGGACACTTGGAGACAGTATCTTGGAGGAATATACCATCTTAGGCCTTGTTTGGATGTAGTCGGATTCACGTAAATCTACATGTGTTGGGATGGATTGAAGTGGAATTTGAACTAAATTCCACCCAAATCCACCCTAACACATGTGGATTAAAGGCTTGTTTGGATGTAGATTGGGGTGGAACTTAAATTATTTTCCATCCCAATCCACTCCAACACACATGGATTGAGGTGGATAGGAATGCATCCAAACAAGGCGTAAGTTGAATCCGACAACATCCAAACAAGGCCTTAGGGATTGTTCCATTCCACCGATCTTTTTTTCAAGCAACCATTCCACCTGTTGAAAGGTCCTAATGGCTAGAGGGGGGTGAATAGCCTATTAAAAATTTCTACAACAACACTAAGACAAATGATTAGTCAATAAGATGGCGAAACGAATTTTGCGCTAGCACTATACTTGGGTTGCAAGCCACCTACCCAATTCTATTTTCTATGATCTCTAGTATATCACAACAAAGCTATGTCACTAATATACACCTAGGTGATCAACCTAGTGAGAGTAATACAATTAAATGATACACTATCTAGTCTTAACTACCACTAGCTCTATCCAAGTGAATGTATAATTAAATACAAGAGAGTGGTAGAGAGGTATACCGCCGTGGCAAGTGACCAATGAGTGAATACCAATGAATACCAAGGAGACAATCAAGACACAATGATTTTTCCTCCGAGGTTCACTTGCTTGCCGGCAAGCTAGTCCCCGTTGTGGCGATTCACTCACTTGGAGATTCACGCACTAATTGGCATCACACGCCAAACCCTCAATATGGTGCCACACAACCAACACAAGATGAGGATCACATAAGCTACGAGCAATTTACTAGAGTACATTTTGGCTCTCCACCGGGAAAAGGTCAAGAACCCCTCACAATCACCACGATCGGAGCCAGAGACAATCACCAACCTCCGCTCGACGATCCTCGCTGCTCCAAGCCGTCTAGGTGACGGCAACCACCAAGAGTAACAAGCCAAACCCGCAGCGAAACACGAATACCAAGTGCCTCTAGATGCAAACACTCAAGCAATGCACTTGGATTCTCTCACAATCTCACACAGATGATGAATCAATGATGGAGATGAGTGGGAGGGCTTTGGCTAAACTCACAAGGTTGCTATGTCAATGCAAATGAACAAGAGGGTGAGTTTGAGCCAGCCAAACGATATTTATAGACACCCCCAAACAATAGAGCCGTTGGCTCAATTATTTGGCTGACTGCGGGACGACCGGATGCGCAGGTTGTAACAACCCGGATTTTTCTGGAAACCAAAATTACGAACTTTTTAAAAAATTTCCTGTAATCGTGTGAAGCATGTAAACGTTAGGTCAAACACGAGTCAAACCCGCTAACGAAACGTTGCATGCATATAGAATTGTTTGTAGAGATTTGCCGGAGCTCTTTTGTTGCCTCGTGTTTGAGTCTTGGTTTCATTTTGGAGAAGCACAATCTATAGCAACTCCCTTGGATTCCTTGCGGGATTATTCCGACTCTCCCGTGAACCTCTCTCATTCTATAAAAACCTAGACCAATGAGACCAAGCCCCGACGTTTCCCTTCTGGAACCTTCCTAGAACACTCACCTGCCAGTGCCTCCAAATGATCGCCATGTCATACTGGCTGTCACATCAATGTCACGGACACCGGTGCACTCATCACGAACCCTAGAACCAGTTTAGGAAATCCCTATGTCCTTAATCTCTTGACCAATAGGCTGCACAGCATGCGTGCATGCACCTGTACCTCGTAACTTAGTTACATGAAGCACGTAAGGCTAAATCAAGAAGTGGCACGTATCCATCCTGTATCACCCAATGACATGCCCCTAAATTGCACGATCATGCATGCTCCTATTTCCGTTCTAGTACGTGAAGCTTGGCCTAGGCCCAAACGAAAGCAATAGCCCAAGCACCTCTTCCTTGCCTCTCACCGCGTGAACAGCAGCACGCTCAGACCTCCCTCACGCGCGCCGCACACGCCCAAGCACCGCGTGCTCCTGATGCGAGAACAGCTGACGTCGCCGCTAGTAGCCCCACCAGCCAGCCGCACGGACCAACTCGCGTACGCTCAACGCCAAGGAGCCACGGACGCTGTTAGCTTTCCCGTCACCCAGTCGTTTCCTTCGTCCATTCCGTACCGAGACGCTCCGCTGCTTTCCGTCAACAGCAGCCAACGCCGATGGATGCCCACCTGCTCCCAGCATCGGATGCATGCCACGTCGCGCACCTGTCGCATCAACGGCACGAACGCCGGGGCCTTGCCCTGGAACATAGGCGTAGCGCCTAAAAGTACCAGCAGCCGCCGCCGCTTCCAACTCCATCATCCATCCGCACCGCCACCCAGCCTCCTATTCCTCCCTTCCAGCTTGCCGCGAGGACGGCCACGCCGCCGGTGTCTCGCCGTGCCTCTCTCCTCGCCAACCACACGACCTCGCCGACGTCGTGGCGTGCAACCGCGACCCCAGCGCACTGCTTTCGTCGCGCATCGGCCTCGCCACCCGGGAGCATGCCAACCGTGTCGACAGCGGGAATCCTCAACGCCCAGGACCGCGAGCCCTGCTGCCTCCTCGCCGCCGAGCGCCGCCGAGCCGAAGATCCACGCTCTGCGTTCGCGCCGCGCCTCCGCCTTCTCGACGTCCACCACTTCGTCCTCGTCTACCGGAACAGTGGAGCTGTGCCAACGCCTTCTTCCACCTAGCGCCACACCACCGGAGCCGCGACGCTTGAAGCCTTGAACTGCGAGCTTGTTCCA